TCTGGCTTCTACTATATGGTGCACAAATTCTTTGGTGTGGGGACAGTTTTCACTCTGTTGTCAGCGATATGCAGCTGTAATGAATTTCAGAATACAATCTTGTGCTAAATATTCAATATGAAGGATATTGTGTGTTTGAAGAGGGTTTACATTCCTCTCTAAGGTATTGAGATGCAATATTGTATCATTATCTAATTAGATAAGGAGTCTAGAGGTAAATTGGGGTTAATTAAACAGGATCTGGTGTTCCTAGAACTATTGCTTGAAATGCAATGCTTTACTTTTCCTCTGGAGCCAACATATAAAACCTTAATCATAGATAATCTTAACAGATTCATAGCTATCTACAGATAAATCAGTTTTTTAACCTCCCACAAAGTGTTGTAATTTCTGTTAACAATTTTACTGTATCCTCAATTTAACTCTCTCATCAGCACATGTGAAGCCTGGTTTTTCTGGATGTGTTTTTGGCATTGAAGTATGAGATGTTCATATGTTTATGCATCACGATTGCATTTACAACTGTGTGGTGACAGTGTTTAACATGCTACTCTATTCCCAGTTGATGTATTTGGCCCTCTGAATGCTCTTCTGTTTTTTTTCCCTCAGTGTTCTGCATCAGTTCATAGTTTTTATCAGTTTGACCTTTTCTGTAGGAAGCATCTTGTAGGACTGACTGACTTTTTAGTTCAGGTCCTGGTTAATTTGTGCATATGTCTGTCCGTTTTCTTTAAATTAGGGTTGCACTGATCGCCAAAAGAAATATCAGGATGCATGAATCGGCCATTTTTTTTTTCTTGCATGTAAGTGGACAGGAGAAAAAAAACACAGAACCTCCGTCTCCAGTAATCATGTCTGTGTTTCATGGAAAAAGCTGCCAAACATTGTTGAAAGAGAAATCTGCTGCATCTTCCAGAGCATTTGCCATGTGTGTGAATTGAATGATATACAGTACACGTTTGTTTTTAGTTCTGAGCGGTCATGCTTCTGGCAGGGGCCGTGTTGGGAAAAAGTCTTTCGCTTCATGTGTCTTACGTCCACTTTTCTCCTGTTGCCTCGTCTATCCAGGGGTCGAAGGTCAAGCCACGCACGCCTGTGCTCCTGTGCACTGGGTCGGATTAAGGTTAGGTGGTGTTCAGCCCTGCCAATGTGACACAGTTGAGTTGAATGTAACCACACACCTGAAACCAACTAACCTCGTACCTTGTTACTCTAGCTTTAATTCTTAATTTCTGAATGTGGGTTACTGTGAGGTGATGTATCTTAATTAACTAGAGTCAATCCACATCACGCTTTGTTGTTGATTGGTCTTTTCTTTTGCTTTGTCGTTGTTCCGAGCACCTAACAAGGGATGACAGCTAAGTTCCAGAGCTGCCTTTTCTCAAATTTATTACAGAACGCTTTGCTAACGTGTAGCCGGTACACTTGTAGCTGTGTACTACAGCCCGGTAACTGGCCATCATGGGAACTAACAGAAAAACGGAGCCTCCCATTTGTATATATTTGATCCTGGAACTTCCCTGTCACCTCATGTATTAATCCAGTTTTCCTCTTTATTCCATTCTACCTTACAGCTCTCATATGGGATTATACTTTCAGGTCAAGAGAACCTGGTTTTGTGGAGGTGATGATAAAAAACTGTACTACTAACGTTATGTATGGGAGCTGGCATTGTGAATATTTTGCTCCCAAATGCGTTCTTTACTTTTGAATTTGTACTTCTGTTCTAGGAGCAAAAATTATTTGGAAACACATTGAGTGGATTGTATAGCAGTGCTGTACAGGTTATAGTCCTTTATACGGTAGTCTAACAATTGCAATTAGTAAAAAATATTGTTTGCAATCTGCAGTTTTAAATTTGAAAATTATTATTTCTCTATGGTAATTAGCTTATAACATTTGTTTATTAGTATACCTGTGTAGAATTGCTTAATAATATTGAGGTAGAATACAACATCATTGAAGAGGGTGAGTCTTCTTGTTTACTGGAGTGCAGAACTGGATAATTCAATTTTAATGTGCACTTTTTAGCAAGCTGACAGTTTTGTACAGTACCACTCGTATACTACACAACTGAAGTAAAAAAGCCTAGTTTTCCGCACAGTAAGAGAACCTGAATAAACAGATTGATCTCCTATTAAGTGTTAGACTATTAATCATGCAATACATCTATAAAATGATGTGGAGTTACCCTTCAGTGCCTTAAACATGAGCAGGAGAAGTTTATAAAGAAGTCTGTTCTATACTTTACTGGGAACAAGTGTGGTGTCGTGAGGATGGGAGTTATGTGTTCATGTTTAGCATATGAATTGCAGAATTCTGGCCACACTGAAGCCTATTTAGTACCTTAGAAGGTACTCCAATAATTAAGGCATTACAGTTTTCTAACCTTGTTAAATTAAAGGCATGACTCAGTATTTAAGCATTAGATAGAATAAAAGTCTTAAACAAATAATGTTAAATGCCTTTGCATTCAACATTAATGCAAGAAAGGAATGCCACAAGAGTATCTGACATGTTCTTCAAATGTCAAACCTTTTGTTGGCTTCAGCACCGTGAATAACAGCACTGTAGTCACCAATTTTGTGACCAGAACAGAGAGTGGCCAGAGTGGTCTAGATTGTCAGGCCGGTGTTGTATATCAGGGTTAGATCACACGAGAGCTGTGTATGTTCTGGCAGTTTAAGGGTTGAAGGAAGAGGAGAAGGGAATGCCTTTAAGATAGTGCTGTTGAGTCCATTTCTTTCAAGCTTTGGTGTCTGTGAATGTGTAGGGAAAAGTGTGTGTAACCTTTTTTTAACAATGTTCTTCAGTCTCAGCCAAAATCCATTATGAAAAGTAGAAGTGTGGGATAATGTTTCTGCGCCTTTGAGTAACCTGTTTTTATTTTTCTGGTGATTAAATGTGCTTTTCTGCACTTTGTAAAAGGAAAGTCCAGCATTCCTCTCTTCCTGTAAAAGACAAGAATCACAAATTGAACGAAGGCAGGGAAGGACAACTGTCAAATATGCAGGATGAATAAGGATGGATAACTTGAGCTGAAAAGTTCATCCATTAAAGGAGCACTCCTGTGAAGAGTGAAGACTCATGGTGCTATAATGCTTTGTTCATTCATACTGTAAATACTTCATAAAGTATTAGCATCACCAGTTTTCTTCATCTGGACCCACATAAATGTTGGATTTATTGGTTCTTCGTATTTTTAGCTTGACACACACAGCAACATGAAACATTCTTTTTCCAACACTCCAGTAATGTTACAATATATGATATGTACTGTAAACGGTTAACCTGTATCCTAAACCTGTTACTAACGCTATCTAGACTCTGGACTCAAATCACTCCAATAGCATAAAATGTACCTTTCTGATCTGTCACCATTCTCTACCTGTCTCTAGATGAACGATGATTTTCCAAATTGCATATGCCAGCATTCTATTTATTGTGCCGTGTGTGAGTGGTTTACATGTGTGACTCATAGATTATTTCTATAAAGAAAACATTTCCTTCTTGCGATATACCTCATATTTTGTAAGATGTGTATGTTTGCATTTGAATTGACTTTTTAAAAGTAACCTTTAAACACTTTTTGAATATTGAAAACCACAGTGACAGCACCGTCACAGATCTTTGACTAGCAAAATGTACAGTACTCATACTTCTTTCCCAAAAAGCAGCTTCTGCAAATTATTGCAATGATGTGTAGTTTAAGGGTTTTTCAAACTTAGACTCCACCCAGCCTGTAAATTGGACAAATGTCATTGAACAGGAGCAGTGGAGCACTAATGCACAAAAGCACAATATCACAGGAAAATGTTTAAAAACTTGAGTCAGGACCACTGTTCAGCTGGGACCAATGTCTCATGTTGCACAAGTGAAGCTAGTATGTTGCCTGGTAATTTTTTTCCCCGTTTTCTCTTTTTTTGCGTTGTATTTTAATAGCTTTCTCACTTTTCTGGTATACCTTTTAAACCGTTAGGTAAATCAGTCAAACAAATACAATCTTTTTGTGGTATTTTAGCGTCTTACAAATATAACCATGGAATGAATCTACAGTATTTTTATTTTAGTAACGGTATTTAACATTCTGGTCTACTTTGATTTATGGTTATTTTTTTACCTGCGGGCAGGAGAGGAATTCTTCTCAGGACTCGGGCTTTGCCTGATGTTTTGTTTTCTTTCTTTTCCTTTTTCAGGTGAGGCTGGACTCCATCAGCCGACCATATCTTCCTCAGTTGCCCCAAGTGCCCCCCCAGATGCGGATAAGTATTTCCCACGTGTCCCCACAGCCCTCCCCTCCCCCCCCTCCTCCTCCTCCCCCTCCGCCTCCTCCCCCTCCTCCGCCCCCCAACCCGGCCCAGCAGGCGAACCCTCTGATGTTTGCAAAGTACAGCACCATCACCCGGCTGCAGAACGCCGCCGCCTCGCAGGGGGGCAACCACTTCAAGCCGCCCTCGCTGGGCCCCCCAGTTCCTCCCGCCGCCACCTTGCAGCCCACAAAGTCCCACGTCACCATCCCCGCGGGAGCCAACATGCCCCCGCCTCCTCCGCCGCCCCCGCCGCCTCCCCCTCCGGTGCCCGGCTCGGCCATGGCCGTGTTGAAGCCAGGGCCGCCCAGCCCAGCCCTACCGCAGTTCACGCCCCCTCCTCCACCTCAGAAACAGCAGTCCCACCTGCAGAGCAATGGTGTCCCTCCGGCCCAGCTCAAGTATCAGCCCTTAAGTAACAATGGCCTCCAAGCGGTCCTGGCTCAGAAGTTCCCAAGCATTCCCCAGGATATTATTACCCCCATCCATCAGTC